AAGATTATTTTTTAAATATACGTAAACATAACAATAAAAAACACAAATAGATTGATATATACTGAAATATAAGGACTACATTTCACAAAACGTTAAAGATGCTCAGTTAAGAAATATACTAAAAGATTAATATTTTTGAAAATTTTCATTTTTTTTTGTAAATACGTTCCGTATGTAAAATGATGAAGTATATTGTGATTATCATCACTCGTATTAGTTATATGATTGCTAAATACAGCAAATAGTTCTATAATGTTAAAAGCGTTTGTACTCATTGTAATGCATGTAGTTTTAGTGAAAATTGATAAATAAATGATTATATAGAATAATTCCATATTTTCTAATTGTTTCTAGAAATAATTAATGAATAATAAAAAAATTTGGTTTTCACAAATTTATGGAATTTAAAATTGCAATCTATCAAACAATTTACATTGATCAACTTTTAGTCCATTCATTATAGTGAATGTTCAACTTTTGTATACAATGGATTTGAATTGATTATGTATTTTTTAAACTCATTTTTGTGATAATAATATGTGATGAGAGAGTGTGAATGCAATTTATGCTCTTGAATGATATGTTGTAATATTCTTATATTATAATAGTCATTTTTCAATCACTTTATTAGTATAAATAATATAAATAGAGTATTAGCTTGACACTGAGACTCTATTCAGTAGATTCTCCAAATGTTCTCCAAGTTTGGCACGTAAGAATGTAGCTAAAAATCTCAATGTTGCGGATTTAACATTATTCTAGTGTACTGGTGATTTAACGTATATGAATACTCTTCATATAATTGAGTCAAGATTGGGACTTCGCATCCTGCATTTTCAACTCCCTTAATATTTAAAAAATGCAAAGTGTACTTGTCTTATAACCTCCCTTGTCTAATGATATATCTCTAGTCTCAAGAGTTCTGTACAAGATATATATATATATATATATTAGCAATTGATGAAAATTTTGTTGAAACATATGTGACACTAATTTATAAATTAGTAATCTGAAAATGTATAGTAGTAATCTTGATTTTTATATGATTCAAGTGTAATTTTTGTATTTTAATTTGCAAAAAACATAGTATGAATAAAATATTTAGATATGTTCAATTTTTATTTCGAATTTTTTATATAAATTACTTTTTTTTCATGTGATTGTTTGCTGAGGATATATTTGCATTTTATGTTTTCACGTTTTAATAAATATTTTTTGTCATTTTTTTCATATAAATATAATCATTAACACCAAGTTAATAAAAAAGTTCATACAAATGATCATATATGTCTAATTTAACTATTATTATTTTCACAAAGTTGAGATTTTTTTAAGCAAACATTAAAATTAAAATTTAGATTAAATACAAACTTGATACATCCGACCAATATCTACTACAAGAAATTATGTGCTTTGTCACGCTCGGATAAAGTCTATCGGAACAAGTTCTTTTAATAAGATACTTGTTCCAGCAGACTTTATCTAAGCGTGACAAAGCACATAATTTCATAACAAATCTTTTATAAATTGTTCAAGTCGAGATGTGGTTTGACTACTCATATATATATCTTAAAGCTTAATTCTTAGGATTAATCCTAACTAGGAAAATTCAATTAAAATAACTATTTGACTTGAAAAAGAAATTATTTTATTATTAATTTATATTAAATAAACAAATTTATTTTGAATATTTTAGTGCTATTGCAATATTCATATTATCACCTTGATTTATATTTGAATGACTTAACAATTAAATCTTAAATGAAACGCGAGCATTAATATATCCACACAAAGAAAAAATCAACAAACAAATTCTACATGGTTTGTCACAATTGCATTTTGTCAATTTCAACTCAAGTTATGTTAATTTGAGTATAATTGTAGATCTGAGTTACTTATCATATTCTACTTAATTCATGATGAGGTACAATAAACTACTTAGGCCATATAATTACTCAATAAAAAATAGTACAAGGAAATTTAACAAAGTTCAATATTTAAACTTGAGCTAACTACAAATAAATCGTAACCAATAAATGATAAAATAATATATAAATAGGTAATTAGAAATTGTTTGTAAAACTTTACTTGAGCTCCTTATGCAAAACTTGCATAATTATTCAATGTATCATAAAACCTACTAAGAATTTAACTTTGATCAACTAGATCAAATTTACCGTTGATCTTTATTAGCTAAATACTTTTATCAGAACTTGCATGTGTGATAAAGTGATACATGATATTGACGTGTTTCATTTTATGGTTCATCACTTGATTTGTGGCAAAATGTGATACATTTTGGCTATAAACGTGAATTTTGATAAACTTTTCTTTCAGTTACATCATAGTGATAAGTCTATTCAGCCATATTGTTTTTTTGATGATTTTGCTCATCATGATGATGACGTCGGATTGATTACTCACTAAGAGTATATCATTCACATAGATTACCAGAACAATAAAATTGAAGATCTGATTATTCATACTTTTAATGTATATACAAGCATCATACACATTTCTTGAAAACACTTGTGCTTTCATGAACTCATCAAATCTTGTGCTTCATTGTGTAAGAGCCTGTTCCAATCCGTATAACAATCTTAGCAATCTACAAACCAGGTTTTCTTGACTTTTTTTCAAAGTCAAATGATAATTTCATGTAGATTTTTTACTCTAAAAATTCATAAAAGTATGATGTAACTAAGTCCATTTGATCTATAACAAGATCAAATATTTTACCAAGTGCATATACCAGACAAATTCTAACATATATTGTTACAGTAGAAGTGTTTGTTATAGTTCACACCTTTCTTTTGTATGAAACTTCTAGTCACCAACCTCGCTTTGAAGATACTCTTCTTGTTAACAGTTGGATTGTTATACATCCACTTGTAAGAAATCTTAACTTGATTTTTTGTAGCTTCACTAGCTTCCAAATTTTGTTATCCACAAGCAATTGCATCTCATGCATCAATCTAGTCAAACTTATTGATAAAGTATTGAGTTTTTTTTTCTTTTTTTCAAAGATTCACTCAATGTAATCAACATACTTTGTATCAATGTCACAATTTTGAAAGTGTATGAATTAGCTAACCAAATCAAATTTCATTTTGGTTTATGTCCATTGTCTGATGTAGATATTTGAGACTCACCAACATTAATCAACTCCTTTAATTCATGTTGTTCAACAATTAGCTCCATTCCTGAGGTCCTCCTTGTATCACATTATTTATCACATGATCATCAATTAGTCTTGCGTAGCTGATGACTATGATTCATAATCATGATATGTGATAGACCATGAGAAGTTGTCTATGCACGCTACTTTTCAAAACGTATCGCCTCGTACACTCCTTCTAGAGCAATAGCTAGCAATTAGAGCTGTGTATTTCCACTTCATGCCATTATTTGCCCCCAAGAACCCTACATTCAAGTAACAATTTCAAATTGTTCAGAACGTCACAAGAGCGAACAATGTTCCCACACTAAGGTTTCAACCGCAGATTTGATCAAACGAGATTTCACTAGATTGAATGTTTTCTCTTGCGATCTCAATACCTTGCTTGTTTTAAAACTAGACTCCTTTTCATCTAGCATTACGAATTTTTTCAATAATATAAAATTTGGCAATATTTAAACTTATAATTTAAATTGACGTAAATTGAATTTAAATTTGGCAATTATAATTTAAATTGATGACAAAAATTAATGATTGTAACAAATGTAATTAATTCAATATCTATTTCAATCAAACTTAATGATCATATCATTATTCTTGTGTATACATCAATCCATAATTTTGATTGAAACCAGATTATTTCATATTGTACACAAAATTATGATCATTAGCAAATTATGATACCTACAATTTATTATGATTACAAGGATATTATTTAAAAATAATTACAAAGAATTCTATACGAATAGTCATAAATATACATATATTTACATTATTCAAAAACGTTTTTGTAATGATTATATCTATCCTTGTGGAAGAATTAGCTTTTTGTCGATTCAAAGTTCATTTCACAATGAAATCAAATTAATATATTTTTTCAAAATTGATATTTCAAAATCATTCAAGTAATTTATAAATGTAGAATCTACTTAACATAGCCGTGGAGTCCACAACATATAAATACGTAAGGAAATATTGAAGACGAATCATGAAATGAGAGATGTATCAATATAGTAATATGTGCATTAACATGATATCAAAGTTGGAAAACCCGTGAGAAATAATCATCATAGGATTTACAATATCAACCTCCATAGTTTTTTTAACCTGAAACATGCACGTTAGAAAAAGTAAAACTACCCATGAAATTGTGTACCTCAGTTAATTGGATCCACCGGCTGCGGCCGGTGTAGAAGAAGTAACCTCATCCAGGATGTTTCCTTAAGCGGTACCTTCGATCATCCTAAGCACAACTAATGTTTTTCTCTATTTGTTTTTATACTCTTATCCACGTGCTGAGTGTATGTGCTTTAGTATGACAAATAGCTGGATTGTAGAAAATCTGAGTAGACGAAAACATTGTGCACGCTATAAGAGGAGTCCGTTGACAAGTTTTGCCATACTGTTGTTCCTTCTCATAATAAAAATGCTCTTTCGATGAAACCGGGAACGTGAAAGGCTGACGGTGAAATGAAAGCCGGCTCTCTTTTCAACGACCCAAATTATCCCATGACACAGTGACGTGGCCAGTACTTCCTCGTGTACCGTGTCATCCGTCCATCCACGTCAGATTGTGAAGCCAAACCGACGACGTTTTCCCGCTGTGCATGCTCCTCAACAACCGTAACGTTAAGGGTGTAACCGAGGTCTAACTCAAACCTCGCCACGACCCACGACTAACCGACAAAGATTTTGTCTGCACGTGGAGGCTGAGCCGATCAACAGCGCCAAATTTCGCGCAATTTTCGGCCATCGGAGCGAAAGGAGAGTGCCGCTTCTTCCCCCGTTCTAACGAGAAGAAAAGATGGTGCTGTGGGGGCCGAGGTTGGAATTTCTCGCGACAGGATACGCTCGAGGGATCGAGGCGAGATTTTAAGGGAGGATCGATCGACGCAGAGAGGGCCAAGATGGAGCTGGCAGGTTCAGCGGCCCGGAGTCGGAGGGAAGGCCAAAGCTGGAACAACACAGGGGTAGTTTCATCACCACAGAATCAAGAGGGGCGGAAGAGCTGAGGCAGACAAGGACTTGCTAATCCGAGCTCATCGTTCGCTTTTGCTCCATATCTCACCCGCATGTGCACACCTGGGACCCACAGTGAGGTGGACACCATTCCAGACCAGACCAAAGCGCAACGAAGGGAAGCGACGCTACAATATCAGCTGTCTGTCACATTTGGTGCATATATTCCACACCTTGGAGATCCCCCACTCCGTTCGGTGGGATTGCACTCGGTGGGGAAATCACACAGGTGTTGAGGCAGGGAGGGAGGAACGAAAAAAAGAAATGGGCGGAGTCATTTTTCCTGGAAAGCCTAAGAAGAGACGCGGGCTGCTCGTTTCGCATCCGAATCCGTTGAGTGCCACTGCCACTGCTGGGCCTGAAGCCTGGCCGGAATTACGTAATTTGTCTAAGTCGCTCGCGGTTTTGTCGACTTCGCGTGATCCTTCACCGGCTTCTTCTTCTTCTTCCTCCTCTTCTTCAACTTCCAGGCCACTTCCTGTGGACTCGAGCTTCGTATGCAGAGAGTCGTTGCGCGGAGTTCAATGGCAGTATAGCTCCTCTGACAAAGGCTCTTTGCAGCCACAATGGAATCGTGTGGGCAGGGCAGAAGCCAAGCGCGATCACTTGAAAGTAAGATTATGTGTTCATCATTTGCAGCTGGTGTGACTTAGCTCTAGCTTGATCGGCCTCAGCTGCGCGGGGAGTTTTTAGGTGCAGAACTGTTAGCCGGTCGTGTTTGTTCGTAAACATTACTCACAATCTAGGATTTGTAGCGAAGTCCGACGGTTGATTTTAGGATTCTTTGCTGTGATGTGGTAGAGATTTTACGTCAGGTACGAACAAAACTATGACATTGAGGGGATCGAAGTCATTTTTCCTCTTTCGAGACCCGTAATGATGGGAACGTTACGACAGTGATTTCGATGGCATATAACCAATAAACCACGGGAAAATACACACCAGCTGTTCAAACTGAATTCAGCTTGCATCCTTCACATTAACCTTTTACCTCAGACCATAGAATTTGCACAGCGTCAATTACCCTCCTCATTTTTGTTCGAAAAGCTATAGCAGTTAGACAATTGGCTTGTAAATTTTAGTTTGTAGAACATGTTCATGTATGTTATCGGGGAATCGGCGTTTGTTCGATTATTTACTTATATTCAGGCTGGCTGCAGGAAGCCATTGCTTTTCTCCGCTCACATGTTGTACCAGAGGGTTATCCTGCAAGTGTGTCACCTGCATATACGCCTTACATGCAATGGCGCGCAGTACAGGTATACAGTTTACTCCAGAGCTTATGGATGTACTGTTTACATCGTTATCCCAGATTTGAATACAAGTGACAATCTCGAATTTAGAGGCAACATGGGAATGCGAATTTAGTCTCAATTCACATATTGAAGTGAAGATAGCTTTTAAAGGGTTGTTACCGTGCTAAAATATATGCTTGTAGTAAATTGCCACAGGCGCGACTATTCAGCAGTCAGTGACTGTCTGAACATGTCTCAATAAAGGGATACAATAATAGAAGGGTTTAGCTGCAGATCAGCTCAAAATCTCCATACAGATCTGCCTCCAATATTTCGATCAGTCTTTTGAGTGTACTAATTGCTGGTTTGAATGGGAATTTTCCAGTACTTTTTTGGTGGTGCCATGAGTGTTTTCACTACAAGATCTTTGTTACATGCCTTGGGCATTTCTCGAAAGGGTTCGGCTTCGGGAGCCGTTGCTGTCAACTGGGTCATCAAGGTATTATTGTAATTTGAGAGCGAGAAGGCTATTAATCCGTCTGATGCAACGTGATCTATACCCAAGTTTACTCCCTCCTGCCCTACACCCAAGTTTAGAATAGAGGGTGACCAATTCTCATTTCATCTCCTATACCATCTCACAGGATGGAGCAGGGAGAGTAGGGAGAATGATATTTGCACGACATGGCAAGAAATTTGATTGTCACTTAAAGCAGGTGCGTTGATATTCTGGAGATCTGATCTTGATGTATTTTGTACTTGCTAGGTTATTCCACTTCGTCACAAAATTTCAAAAGCATGTGAGTTTAGAGGTGACTACATGACATTGCACCTTTTGGCAACTGTATTTTGTTGGGAAGTGTGAGGTGATAGTGAATTCAATCTGCAGGTTGGTTGGTGGTTGAAATGCAGCTTCGGTTTGCAGGAGATTTGTTAATGGAGCTTGGTGCCGGAGTGGAGCTAGCGACTATGGCATTTCCCCAACTGTTTTTACCGCTTGCCTGTGCAGCCAGTGTGGCCAAGGTAAGCTCATCCACTATCTTTATTTAACTTGTCTAGTTCACTTTGATGTCATTCGTTTTCAAGAAAGAATCGAAGAGTTTTCTCAAATATCCTAAGTATATGATGTGGTTTAAGTTAAGCTCGGATTTTGACATACATGACAGAATGTGGCAGCAGTAACATCAACATCAACCCGTGCGCCCATTTACAAGGCCTTTGCCAGGGCCGAAAATATTGGAGATGTAACAGCCAAAGGCGAATGCATAAGCAACATAGCTGATTTGGTATGCTCCTGACGGCGTATGATTTGCTCTATTATCGAAAGTTTGTTGAATTTGCTTAGCTATGTCGTCATCGCTGAGTTTCCTAGACGTTTACTTTTGACTCTTCTCTTCTGGATTTGTCGCAGTTCGGAACTGGTCTTGGCATCCTTCTTTCAAAAAAAAATCCCTCGCTGTTTGTTACCTTTTTGGGGCTCTCTTGTGGCTACATCATAAGCTCCTTCCAAGAGGTAGTTTTTTTATTTTGAGTTGACTTTCTGAGATTCTTGTAAAAGCCATGTTGACCCTTCAAAATATCATCAAGAAAGCTCTCAGTCTTGACGACTTAGCGGATGCTTGAATAGGTGAAGGCTGTACGCTTGCCTACGTTGAACAGGGCAAGGTTCGCAGTGGCTGCACAGGTCTTTCTTGATACAGGTGTGTGTGATACTTGAATCTGATTCATTCTGACTGTGTGGATTCTAAAATGTAAAATTGTGCACGCACAAAAACTAATCAGTTGAGAATGTGGACTTTGCAACATCAAATTTGTGCGCGGACTAAACTCGCTTCTTTGACTCGTTGTTCCAGGACAAGTTCCTTCATTAGAGTATGCCAACGCGAAGGAGAACATTCTGTTTGCACCTTGGGCCGAAGAAAAGTCCGTGGCACTAGGTGGGAAATAACAGAAACTCGACCTGAATCTCTAGTGTTTTCTGCTGCGATCAAAGTTCGGAGCTTTTTCTTACAGCTACTTTTCTACAAAAATTACTTTCATTTCTTGTGTTTTCTCACAATTTTGTGGATACATTTTCAGGTGCTCGGGTTATGGAGGCCTTTTCCACTCCAGAAGATTTCAAAGTAACGCGGGCGCTATTTGAAGTATGAAACGGAACTCATCTTGCATGCTTCGTTCATGACCTTAAAAAACTGATGTTACCATATTCACGCAACACCTGATTTCCTGTTTGTAGAAAGAGAATTATTTGTTGACTTACCGACCATCGAAGAGAAGGGCATTTGTGGTGCTGAAAGAAACGGCGAGGTCAGAGGATATTTTGCGCGCTACTTTTCATGTGAGTTCAAATCTCTCATCACAAGTAACATTTTCAGGTCTATCATGAATTCCTTTGATGTGCAACTAAATATTGGCCTGTGGATTGTGAGCCAGGCACATGTTCTTATGCAGATTCTCCGACAAGTACGTTTTAAAGGCAGAGCTGAAGAAGGAGATAAGAGGGATAAGGAGTCTTTGGCTTTCAACCTGAATTCACAATGGCAGTCTGAAGATGGTGTAATTAAAGCAGTTGCTAAGAGCTACGAACACGTTGATTCCCTGTTCGGCACATTCAAGGAGAAGGCATCTGCACAGGTATATGCCTTGCAAAGCTGGTATTTTGCCAATGACCTATGGAATGAGCTAGTGAATAATGCACATGCCTGTACATGTAGGCTGGTAGTAACGGTTGTGTTTCTTGGAGCAGGGTTGGATAATGGCAGAAAACCTTCTAAGTCCAGGTGATGCGCGTGTGTCCATATGAGGATGAACGAAATGTATCGACTAAGAGAATATCACAAACAAACATCACGCGAATAGATTCGCCTGAAGAAGTATCTCGACAACCACTTCTCAAAGGTGGCAGCACTCACATCGTTGATTGTCTCTTGGAACTTTTTTACCATTTTTGTACCACTTCGGCTCAATGAATCAAGCGAAGGACAGCATTTGACATCAAAAGGGAGTGATCATCAGTGTCATAGCAGGGAAGTGTCAGTGTCCTCAATTGATTAGAAATTTGGAGAGGGCTGCACTTAGTTCACTGGGAAATAGTTTCATGGCGAATTAGAGTGAGCAACTGCGAGGTATTCCCAGCTCTTTCAAGTTTATCAGATGTAAAGTGGTATGCACGTTAGGGACATTTTCCAAAGCGGGTGCTCCAGATAGGAAAGCGTGAGTTCGAGCAAATCACCAGTTTTGTAGGTAGGATGCTTCAATGACATTGTAGGTAGATGCTCTTAACCAGTTATTAGTCGAAAGCCGAGTTTTACACTGAAATCGACCACTCGTTTCCACTCAAAGAGTGGATTCATTCGAACCCCCCTGGAAATTTGAGAGCCTAAGTTCGCATCAGTTATTTTCCTTCCGTGTTGATATCATCAAAAGAAAATAAAATCTACTCTCGTATACTGTATTTTCTGTGTGGCTTTTGCCTCGAAGTTTGCTTGAGTTTCCGGACACCCGTATCCCAACTTATGGCAATTTTCTGTAATGGATGGTCTTTTTCGCACTCACTCCTTAATTGAACGGAAAAATTGTTGAACTTCTTTCAGCTCGTTGAGATGTATCGGATGTGTAATGTGCAACGAACCTGGCGTCGACGTACATTGTTGATTCTGACTGAGTGGATGGATAGCACCCAACTGAGCATATGACTGCGAGCATACAGAAGAAAATTGATATTCTAATGCAAGTAAACCAAAACAAGGAACGCCCGACGTGTCCTAAGCACGGTGCTAAAGGACGCCAGCATAAAAAACACTCTGGGAATTTCTGAGAGCATTTTGAACTGCGAGAAGTGAAGTTTACCTCACCAAGAGGAGTTAGTTCTACGCCGGAATCAGACAATTAAAGTGGAAATTGGCGAGTGGAGAAACCAATGAAGCTTTCCTTCAGACAGCTGTTGTTCTGTAGAAAAGATGAAGACTGGAGAGGAGGCCTCTTGTAGAAGAACCCGACAACAGGAGCTTCGACAAGGCATGAAGTTGGAAAAAGCGTCGGTGGTAACCTTTCGCATGAGCACGACAAACTCGCCGTAGAAACGAGTCAAGATTTAGTGGCGCTTGTTGAACTTTTGAACTAACCACCATAATGATCGGGGATGCTTGTCAACTGCGGAATGTGGTCGGCTGTTCCTGGCGCTACTTCCTTGCGTGAAACTTACGTACAAGATGTGACAACCATTTGACTTACGTCTTGGATTGAGGCATAATCCATAATATTATGGCCAAAGTCCATAATATTCTCGTTAAAACTTACGTCTTGGATCGTATCAGTGGTGGACAAGATTGTGCCTTCACGGTTGATAGCGAACAACACATTCATGGATTCGTGCACGACAGCTGAAACTCTTGTCATAAATGCCCCACGGTCTTCCTCGTGGTGTGGCTCACCGTCTACAAGGTTATGTCAGCGTTGAAACATACAATCGTGGGATCATATCCCAAAGCTTCACTTTCTCTCCCATATTTTCGAGGAAAATTGGAGTGAAGACGTAACTCTCACAGAATCAATCGCTGTTTGTTGGGAAAGTGAAAGTGAAAGTGAAAGGGCTTGACTTTTGCAATGAACCGGCTAGAAAAACAGGCACACAGCTGGTCGCTCATGATGCAACAAAAATACTCATGGGTTGTACACTCTTGACAAATCAGAAATGGAGGCAAGACTGTCATCGTTCTATGATTACAAACACCAACTTGGGCAACGAGAGATACAGAGACAAGAGTAATAGAAAGAGGTGAAGAAACCCAGTGGAACAGGCCAAGTACCAAGCTCCAAGCCTCTTAAATCAACAGGTGTATAACTGTTTCTCAGAGTCTCTGAAGATGTCCGTCCAGTACCGGACACTGGCTTCAAAGTCGGAGCAGCGTAAACGAAATAAAGGAGGAGGAAAATCACGCGATACAATTTTCCGTTAAAGAGTTTGTGCCCAATTATTAGATAACTGACGCAGGTTGCTCATCATTTGATCTTCATGCAAGTTCAACTTTTGCAATAAGAAGGAATAGAATCACGGGACAAAACCACGAGCTGTTATGAAAGGCCCACAACCTGTAGCCAAAGGGCCGAGAGAAAAAAAATAGCCATAAAAATGTATCAAATTACACTGACTCAATCGGATTGCCTACACCTCACACCCTTCTGACATCCTTACTAGCTAACCTTGGCTTTAAATTGGCTTTAAGAGTTTCCAGTCATTCTTCAATGCAGAGAAGTGAATGTCAAGCACGACTTCCAGCACACCAGCATTTTAAGTTGAAGCATTGCAGAACTTCCGGGTCCCAGATTCAGGTTGTATTAAACCCAATTTGATCCAAGGAGCAAACTTTGGCAAAAAGCGAGTGGAGTGGAACAATCATTAGGCTTCAAATCTGTGATGAAATCCGCTTCAAGGACAACAACGACGTCCATGAGACGAAGAAGGAAGTGTGGCAAGTGTGGAGTCATGAATGAATAGCTATGAGTGAAGGGGACATGACGGGCCCCATGCGAACCAACCGCAGGCCGCATTGCTTCATTGCAAGCATCTCAGTTGGTGGGCTCGGGGGCCTCTCTCGAGTTGGTGAAGGGTTGGTGCTACACTGAGCAGTAGAAGGATCTCACAATTATAGGAGCAGCAGCGTCAGGGGGCAGGGTCAGGGTCAGGTCAGAATACTATATTCTCCCATAAAATAGCATTTCTCTGAAACATTATTCCGCGGTTCGTTGTAAAACTCCTCCGTCCATCGCCCTTCAGCTCGGCATGGTCCCTTACCAGTGCTGCATAGTAAACGTCGCAGGGCAGTGGTGCAGCGTCGCTCATGCAAAGGTTGTATCATCAGTTCGACTTCTCTTACGACAAGTGTTCTGCAGGCAAGCTTCTGTGCCGACACCTCCTCGCATCCATGGGAGACGTCGAACGAATATCGGAGTTCTGCCTCCGGAGCTGGAAAGCTATCAGCCGTCCGGTCTGCACTCTGCACCAAGTATGCTAGTACGGCTGCCAGTATGCTAAAAGTAATGTGCTAATTATCAAAAGTTCGAAAAAATGAGCAGGAACTGCACGGCTTTGAAACTTGCATCTGAATCTAGTTATTACGATGTGAACCTTCTTATTCTACAAAAAAGTGTGAGCAGATCCCAATAAGCAACCCTCACTAGGATTTCACCGAACCAAACAAGGGGCTGGGTGTCTAGACTACTTAGATAAAACCATAAATCAATCAGAACATCATTTGACATTGCATTATCTAACTTGATTACTTTCTTATTTATATCACTTTATAGTGTTCTTCTAATTTAGGACTATTATAATTTTTTCATCCTATAAATACAGATATACGGAAATAACAATATAACATGAAATAGCAATATAACTACTGCCCATGCGAATTTCTCCAAATGTAGAGGTTAAATTTATAGGATTTTTTTGCTAATCTGTATTTATAAATACATATATATCCTTAGATTTTTTTATTGGTCCATTGATCGTTTTTCACACATCTCATAAACTCATTATCGTTTCTGAGAATGAATGCAACATCCCTTTTGTAAATTAGATGGATAGCATTCAAATGCAGTAAAAATTCGACTCTGCAATACTTAGGGATGCAGGTTCGTGTCAATAGCCCTATCAATATGCGACTCATTCTAACTTTAATTCTTGTTATTTCCAAACAATTTGGCTGTTAAACTATAAATTACATAACCTGAATCTAAAATCAAGAAAGTTATTATTTTGAAGAAAGATGGATGTGTTTTTAAAGAGGAATTCAGATCTATAAAATTTCTTTTCTGCAAAGGCATATTCTTCGATAAAAAAAAGAAGCAAAAGTAGAAGTAAATTGGAAGTTAACTTTTCATTATTAAATTTATATACAAAATGTGAAATTTCGCTATGTCCAATAATAAACGAGCGTAGAGGTCGATTTAGTTGGCTTAAAATATTCTGAAACCAAATAAAATGTTAAAAAATGGAAAATCAAGGAGTATGCCTTGATATTATCATGCAGGAATATGTTCTACAAAGTCTACAACTTTTGAGTCATCTAAGTTAAATAATTTACAAATAACATTAGCATCTGATGCTGTATCATCGAACTTGCTTGCATTGATATCTATAAATTTCTCGCTGGTGTTTTTTTAAAAACAAGGAAAAATCACTTCCCTAAATATACTACATAATATTCAGAGAAATATTGTTGATATCAACTAAGACTATGACTACTGCGCACTCTTTTACAAACATGTCAAAGTGTATGTATAGTTTAATACACTTTTGATTCTAAAGTAACAAAAAGGTGACATTTCTTCAATACCATTTTATTTGAAAGCGTTAGATGCTTAGGATTAAAAAATTTCGGTAAGAAGTAAATCTATTTACAATTGATATTACCATATATCCACATGCACTGTATTCTATCCGAGAATTGTATACTTGCAATGATAGATTAAAAAATGTAACAACTGTGCCGAGAGTGCATAGTTGATCAAGAGTGCTTATATTGCCATCTATTACATCTAGAGTAAACTTACCATTCCTCAATTCATCATAAGAAGGCTAACAGTTCCTCACATTTACTTCGCAATGAACTCATTGAATCACCACTTGTCGCGTTCTCATATGTTGATTGTACTCACAAGTAAACTCATGTTTATTCTTTTCAACTCCTTTTATTCATAAATAATTCCCAAGTCAAGTGCTGATTCACAACACCTACAGAACTGTTCAGGATACTCTTGTGCTTATAAGCTCTAGAAAGGAGCAGCTTTGGATGCATGGGGACGGAAGGTCTGGAGACCTGGAAGCTCGTGCAGGATTGGGTCCGCTCAGAATTCCACATGTCAGCTTACTGATCCTCTCGCAGGAAGCAAAGGAAGCAAAAATAGTTCAAAGAAGTGTTCTGATTCGGACTCGATGTAAGCAAATACGAAGGCGGAGACTGGTCAAAGCGGTAGCAAAATGGATAGATAGGTCTTGGCTTACATGACGTGGCGCCTGTGGTATGACGGGACCAGAAAGATCGTGGCATCCCACTTGGCAGTTCTATCCTGCCAGGTTGGATTCACCCAGCTCCCAGTCTTTTGGAAAAAAATGGACATAGAACCCCCAATTTTTCTTCACTTCCGAAAGTGATGGTTTTATACCTCGACAGTAAAGAAGAAACGAGGCCCAAGGTTTTCCATTTTCCTTTTCCTGGGTAGCGTTAAATTTGCACATGGAGAGTATTTCCTGGGCCCCACGTCATACAACCCGATTTGTTGTCCGCGCCTTGTGGTTCTCCAGTGCTGCCTGACATCTGGGCCGTTGGGCTTTCGGTTCGCCCTTTAGTAGCTACACGGAGATTCTGGGTTGTATTCTCCGCTGCCGGATCCTCACTTTTAAGTTCCCGATGAAGTGTTCCGATTACGGCTTCTTCTATTAATCCAAGCTTTGAGGACATGTTTTGCATGAGTTTTGTCGGGAGATATTTGAGCTGCGTTTCAGGATGTGGTCTAACCGTGCTTCTATTCATGGTTACAATGGAAATATTCCAGCCTCTGTACTGCGAGATCTATAAGACCTTGTCCCTGAATCAAGACACCCTATTTTTTTAAGCTATTTTTATTGTTGGGAAACTTGATGGAAGATACGGGAAGTCCTTAAGTTTGCATGGTGATATTCTTCAGATAAACCCGACCAAATTTATTTTTTCTTGCGTTGGCGACGATGTAACCGTTCAGGACGCGTGTTGTGCCGTTTACTGCAAACCATTCAGGTTAGCGGGGTAGATATACTCTAATATTAATGAGGGGAGGGTAATGAGAGCACAATAGGTTAGAGAAGTTAATGTGGTAAGGTAAATTTTTTGTTCATTCTTTTGTAAACATATGAATATGATCATTTCTAGTTTCGTATGATTCCAAGCTTGGAGTAACAGGGATTTTTTGTTGTTGCATAAGGATAAAACTAAAAAATCTGGATTTTTATCTCTACAATCACTGCCAATCCATAAAGACTGGGGATTATTCTTGTTAAATGATATATTGTGCAAAATATATAACCACAATGTGCGTGTTTGAACCAATTATAAGTATGACGTAATCTTAGTTTCATATTAACTCGGACCAACCCTCTTTACAACATAAAATATAATCTTTCATGGAGTATTGCAAATACCACATGTCGAATAATATCATCTATAATTATCTTCTGACACTCAATTGAGCATCTAGTCATATAATACATGTTTATCCTTAAGTAATACCACGTAAGCACCTGAACATAAAAAACTGGTGATATCTGAATCAAACCCAGTTAGAACTTCTAATACTTTGTCAAGCCAAAATTCAGAGTAAAATTGAATGTAAATTTTGCTTAACCTACAATCCATTTAAGTTGATTATGAATTGCTAATCTTCTCGGTGGATAAGGGAAAAAACACTGTAGTTACTATATTATATATGCCAGAATATATTTCTCCTAATATACTTTTTCTTGACATGGCAATGTCAATAGTCTAAGAGAAGATAAATGTTAAGCTCTTAATTTATTAGGGCACAAACACATGGATATCCTATTACACATAAGCTACATGATGAGATTATCTCTTTGTTTGCAAGCATCCTAAAGTAAAAATGGGTCATTGATCTCATGACTCTTTGCGAGACTGTTACTGATCTACCTTACTTCAGTATCATATATATTAAGGGCAGTCTTCCGCCCTAGAATGAAGCTTCTCGCTACTCTACTTCTTTTTAGTGGGTTAGACTCTATTATTTAAACTGCGAAATTCGCTTCTAGTTTCCACCGGTAGAAACTTAATGCGAATGATAGCTAAACCCTAAGGATACCCGTCATGTTCAGATCGGGTTTGTTTAACTTGTTTAACAAAGTTTTTCTGGACATATCTGCTTGGATAGTGATAACGATGTCATCTGGACATCGTAAAGCGCATGAAGGTCAAAACAAGCAGTTCCTCGCATGTGTTTGTGTCCTTGTTGAGAATTACCTATCCCACCCTAGTCAACTCTACGCATCCTTATACCGGCGAATTCAGCGATAATTGCTTAATATCATAGCATCACATCTTGAAGAAATTACATTATATAAGTATTCCAATATTCTATATCGACTCTTACCTCCAAACACGATGTTGTCTCTTTATACATGTCTTATAGATCCTACACTCCATAGAAACCTAGGAAAGCTCAATCTTAAACTGACGATTAGATATAAAACATCGGATCATTTCCTTGTAGAAGGCTAATCAATTAGTTTATGAACGTCCTTGTCACCTGAGTTCTTATCACACCTCAAGGGTCTGGGGTCTAGTCTTCTGAACACGTTTACTTCCAGGTGTTATACTCTACACAGGTATATAGCATACTTTGGGTAGTAAATAAAAGCGTACTTGCGCATGTATAGCTGAACCTTGTGATCCACAAAGTAAGAAGATGATTTGAACTTCATAGTTTCAACAGAATCTTCTAGATAACGTATACAATAGTAACTGACATCAGATACTGTTGTTTACGAAAAAGCTCGTACTGATGTATCAGCAGTCGTTATGCAAGAAAGTGGCGATGTGTGCGTCATGTATTACAGAAACCTAGTCTTGATATTATCAATTTCGTTGATTTAATAGGGGCATGCTAGAATCTGGCCTGTGACTAAAAATCAACCAGATAATTCTTACACTTTCTACCTCGAGACTACAAAATTCAATAGCCTGGAAGCGCACGAGGTGTTATATAACTTCCAAGCCGCCACGCTTACACCGACAAAGGCATTTTACAATATGTGAAATATGTAAGAGGTAAAATAAAGTACTCTTTGGAATTAAGTCGATCGCTGCATCGCGAGGTTAGGATTCAAAGTTCGCCACCTCATGGAAATTTAGATAGAACTCATCACCGTAATAGCACGCGATTCGCATCGCGTAGACATGCACTTAGGAGTCACACCTTGACGCCGAAAATCTTCTCAAAAGGCAGATCCATCTGTTGGAAAGAACCCCTTTCGTCGCAGTAAAGTCCTTTATTCGAAACTTTACACTGGCAGACTAAACCAACCCAATCCAAGTCCCGTCAAGCGGGCATGGGCTCGGGTTCGAACTCGGCGGAGGCGGGTTTGGCTCGTAGAGCGGAGGAATCATATCGTGGGCTGCCACGCGCGGACCTTCGATGGCCCGTCCCGCGTTTCGATGTGGCTATGGTGGTGGCCGGGCCTAGGGCAGTGGCCGGAGAGCCGGACGGGACGAGCGTTGAGAAGAGCGGGGACCATGTTCCGGGACCCGTTGTCGCCTTGCTGCTGCTGCTGAGGAGGAGGCGGCTAAATTTGAGAAGTTGCGGGTTCGGCATCGTTCGATTTGGAGGAGGAGCGCCATGGTAGCAGCAGTGCAGTTAGGAGGAGGAGGAGAGACGGCGGAAGGACACGAGGTGAGCTGTCCGCGGGGCGAGCTTCGTTCTGTGGTGTTGGGCGGATGGATGGCAGCGGGCTTGGTTGCTGATGAGAAATAGACGTGCAGTTGTGGCAGGTGAAAGCTCGCGGGCAGAGTCAGAGTAGTGGAAGAGGAGCGACGGAGGCTCTGGCCCGAGCGATTGTGCTGGGGCCCGATTGGAGCTCTGTTTGGAGGAGGAGGAGGAGGAGGAGGAGAGGAAAGGAGTCGTGGCGGAGGGCAGCACATGACTGTGTAAGTATGGCAGCAGTAGTCCTGGTAGTGGTGCGTTGTGAAATCTGTGACTGTTGACTGACCCGAGCTCTTTCTCTCTCTCGTATCTATCGCCCGCCCTCTTGCCCGCCCGGCCGCGCTGCTGGTTGTCTTGTCGCTCATGCATGCTCGCTGGCTGGCTGGCCTCCCTTGCCGTCATCGCATTGCTTCTTGTTGCGCCATCTCTGCTGCGCCTTGGATCGCCCTGTGCCAGACCGGGTTTTTTGCATCGGGGTCAGAACCCTGTGCCTCTATTCTATCGCCCGCGGGGTGCTTCGTCCTTCGACTTGCCCAGCCTCAGCAGCAGCCTGCACGGGGATCAGCTGTTTGTTTGTTGCTCATTGCTCGTTGTGAAAGTGTGTGATACCGTGGACGCTCGCTCTCTTCAGGACGTCGAAGAGGAGGTGGAGGACGCAGTGATAGGCGAGGAATCATGGGATTCGGAACAGGTGCCCTGGTCTTGCAGCAGACTTCCGTAGCTGCTCCTAGATTTGCCAGCATTTCGCAGGTGAATGGCTCCAGCCTCGACGCATTTCGGAATGGCGCGGATCTTCCTCTCTGCTCCCATCTTCAAAGCCATAGGAACGGCATAGCTCAAGGATCGGGCCAGGCAGGGTTTGCGACAACGCGTTCCAGCAACAAATTGCTTCAGACTCGCATTGACTCGGAAACTTCTCGCGTTGTGGCGAAAATTCGCAAGGGCAAGAAGAGCGCAGAAACTGAATACCCTTGGCCAGAGAAGCTCAAAGGAGATGAACAAGAAGGTTACTTGGAATTTCTCTCCGGATTCAAGCCTCTTCCTACCAAGCCTAAACCTGTCACCCTTCCGTTCGAGCGACCTCTCGTCGACCTCGAGAACAAAATTGATGAGGTACGCATTTGCATTTTTCTTACTGTCGTCTTTCACCGTACTTTAGAGTTGCGACTCTCTCATCCTCACCTGCACTCTGCATCTGCCCACCTATCTGGAGACAATTCCGTGGCATCCGCTAGATGCCTCGAGGCCTTTCCTACATGTCAGTCTTGGTTGCTGACCCAGAGGGCTCGAACCTCCAGTGAATCTCAGAAGTATTCATCTTCGTTCGTTGCTTGTATTCTAGGTGCGAGAGCTTGCAAATAAGACGGGCATGGATTTCAGCGAGCAAATCAAGGAGCTGGAGCAGAAATACGATCAAGTATGTAGGCATTGCAAGTTCCCCAGCGATTTGTTGCCGTCTTACTTGCATCTGATGTCTGGGCGCCGTGTGAGAACTTCATTGGCCCCCGTAGCATTGATTTGTGTTTGGAGTACATTCATTTCACGTGCTGCAGTTCTATACACAGCCTCTTGGTACAATGCTAACACTACGTACTTCGTTGAAGGTTCGTCGCGATTTGTATCTGCATCTGACCCCGGTTCAAAGACTCAGTGTCGCGCGCCACCCGAACAGGCCGACGTTCTTAGACCATGTTCTGAACATTACCGACAAGGTGAGACAGAACTCACCGCCTTTTACGTACCGAACTTTAAATTCGTTTTCTCCGTTTGACCGTTTCCAGACTGAGCAATGAGAAACTTATCGAGATTTGTGATTATTTTGTAGTGGGTAGAGCTCCACGGAGATCGGGGTGGATATGACGACCCAGCGTTGGTGTGCGGTATTGGGAAGATCGAAGGAATGAGTTTCATGTTCATGGGTCACCAGAAGGGTCGTAACACGAAGGAGAACATCTACCGGAACTTCGCTATGCCGACGCCTAATGGGTGGGTTTGAAATTCTTGAAGAAATTGGATGATGATCTGCCCTCCTTTTGTAAGGAATTGTACCGAGCGATAAAAATTTGTCTTCAGTTTCTTCTTTCAGGTGTACTCACTAGTATCCGTTTATTGACAAACTTCTGCCACTGCATGTGCTTTGAATTTCAGTTATAGGAAGGCTTTAAGAATGATGAGACATGCGGACCACCACGGGTTCCCCATTCTCTCTTTCATTGATACACCGGGAGCTTACGCCGGTATCAAAGCCGAAGAACTTGGTCAAGTAAGTTGTAGTCTATACCTTGTGAGCCTTTTGAATGTTCCATTGAAGGAGCCGGAATGGCTGGTCTGTAGTTTGGAATGTCCTCAGGAATGGTCTTTTCTAATCCTGTTTTTATAGGGAGAGGCCATCGCACACAATCTGCGTGAGATGTTCGGGCTTAGGGTTCCAATCATCACCACTGTCATTGGTGAGGGAGGCTCTGGTGGAGCTCTGGCCATTGGTTGTTGCGACAAGATGATCATGCTCGAGAATGCTGTTTACTACGTAGCAAGGTAGGAGATTTTTTACTCAAACCTGAATACAAGCCCGAGATCAAATTTGAATTCAATTCATCATGCTATCGGTGCAAGTTTCCGACACGAATACTATCGAGGCTACATAATTTTGTGATTATGGTCTCATATGGGAACTCTAGCTGATGTTTCTGTTCAAAAGCTCACGTGCGCCTTCGTGTACTATATTGCATATGCAGCCCGGAAGCCTGTGCGGCTATTTTATGGAAGACAGCGGCTGCAGCTCCAAAAGTGAGTGACCATTTTTTTGTAATCTGCAGTTTTCAAGATATATTTGATGTTTGAACCAAAACCTCTATCGGTAGATAATGCTTGGGTTTCAGGATTCGGAGATGGCCATTTTAAGATTAACCACATAAATTTCCAACGTAGTTTGGGTATAGGTCAAAAAGAGAAAAAGATACTGAAAAGTATAGCCAGGGGTGTTGTAAAACCATGACGGTAACGTCACTATGACTAACGCGCGTTTTGACGGATAAAATATCTGCAGGCAACAGAGGCCCTACGCATTACTGGAATGGAGCTTATGAAATTGGACGTTGTCGATGAAGTTATCCCAGTATGTATCTCTTCCACCCTGAAGTCTCTTTTATCTTACCGTAGCGAAGTGCTTACTTATTTGTAGTTGAAAACTCAATACGCGATTTCTCTACTTCAGATGTATATCTATCCTTTTCTCAGTAGTTTGTCTTGGTAACCTCTTTGGTGATCATGCTTGTTGATGTGTTGCAGGAACCACTGGGAGGAGCCCATTCTGATCCAGTGTTGACATCAAAGAATATCAAAGCAACTATCTTGAAGTACATGAAGGTAGGTGTTTCCAAGTTTCTGTTTTTCAAAATAACACCTCATTGAGACCCCCTTCGTTCATGATCACGATGTTGCTCGTGGATATCCTCTTACCTTCAAAATTACGTTAGTCCTTTGTTGGCTGATTCTTTTAAATGGACAGTTCCCCCTCTGCTTTCTGAAGCACCCTCGACTGGTCTGTAATAAACAAGTCATTCGTGTTGTCAACCACGTCATCCTTAGCGGAGGTTCCTTGCTTTCTGTACATCGTTAACACACTGCTGGGTTTATCTTCTAGCCAAGTGTTCATTTGATGTGCTGTCTTCATAACTCATGTGTTGAAGCGTGGTTTGATGTGGCCTTCGTCTGGAACATGTTCTTGGGTTGCAGGAGTTGTTGAAGCTGGACCCTGAGACCTTGATGAAACAGCGAGTTGCAAAGTTCCGACAAATGGGTGCTGTCGAGGAAGGAGTAGAAGTAGATGCACACATCAAGCGCAACATGAAGAAGCGCGAAGCACCATTGGGCAGTGAGGATCCCAGATTGCTCACGAGCGGACTGCAACAATCACTCGATGTCAAAATCAGTGCCGTCGAAGGAACCACAAGTCACGTGAATGCTTCTGCCACTCGATCGGTCGAATAGGAATTTTAGGGACATAGGTGTTTCTTTTCTGTTCGGGTTTCCTCTACTCCGAGAGGTCTGTACTCTAGTGAGATTAAAAAGCAAGACATGAAAAGTCATTAGCTCAATACTTTAGACATTATTTGACAGGGCTCTATCCTGAATGACTGTTAGAAAGGGATCCCACAACTCACCCTTGTCTTCATCGACCATAGAGAAGCATTCCACTTGACATGAACTTGATTGAAACTGGAATGGTGCAGGCCTACTTCGTCTTCGACATGCAAGTAAATTGATAGGTTAGCAATGTACACCTGGCTTCCATAGTTATATAGGGGCAAGTGGCCCTGGGATTATGAAGGTCCCCACATGCTCTGATAGTTACGCCAATGTATGAGGCTACATGTACAACAATAGGCCGGCACAATTTTTTTAGAGTTAAATGCTCAGCGGCCAAGGAGGTTGCCGTCAAATAATTTGAATGGATAAAGAATCTGTTGTCCTGGATGTTGATGAACTAAAATGTGTACTAATCACTTAACTTAGAGTTTCACTTGCTGTGTGCTTCAGAGTCGTCGTCGATTGCTTTGGGCCTTGGATCTTGGTCTCGCAATCTTCCTCGATTCACTGTCGACCTTGTGGTTGTGTATGCTGTACTACAGAAAGGCCAGGCCAGTACTAATCGGCTTATGGGACAATCACCACATTGAGCCGGAGGGGGAGAGCGTCGTCTATTTATTTTATTCAGCCATGTGATCTATTGCCAAAACTTGGTGTTCTATATTCGCTTGAACTTATATTGAATGCCCTGGAGTTTATTTCATAGTTGTGTTGATATGAAGTTAAATGAATGAATTAAATGAAGTCCTCGAAGCTCGTGGTGAAAGATGGTATTCGAAGCAAGGCATTTTCTTGTTCTGAGATTGTTAGCTTGTAGTCCCCTCTCGATGATTACTAATGAGTCTGAGACGTGCCGTGACTCAGCTACAATTTCCTACAGCCTCCACAAGTGAAAGCTTACCGACTCGTAGTGTGTCATGTCTACCGCCTTATATAAGAATGTTGCGTGGAATCATTGTGCAGGGTATTTAAGTGGACCCTAGGCATACAGCATATGTTACTGCAGTCTTTAGAACGTCTTGTCTAACAAAATAAGACGCATGGGGGATTAAGTAGACCCACGACCTGTAGCACTGTTATTGCAGTTTTTAAAACATCTTTTCTAGTGAAATAAAACGAGTGCTAAAGTTACTGTTGAAACTTTGCAAGTAAGGCCAGCGTACTCATAGGTTTGTACGCACAAACATAATCATTTCTTTTTAAAACAGTGTCTCTATCGCGACTGGCCGATTGGAGAATCAAGGTATGCTACTTTGTCACAATATCTTATGCACTATATTTTGTGATTCTTCACTCAAACTGATTTATTCATCCGAATCTTCACAAGTTTTATCTGTATTTGACCAGAGATCGACTAGTTGGAAGTCATAGATCTCGTATTTACCACTCAAGGCGATATGCGCGAGAAGATATGAAGAAGTTCGCATTATAGCCAAGATCTTGTGATCTATAAAGGTAAGCATCAACCATGGGTAGAAACATGCATGGTGTAGAAACTGAAAAACTCGTAGCTCTTCAGCTACAAAGCAAAAGTCAAAAGCACAAGGAGTCTAGAAAGATTCATTTCGGGCTAAATGAAACGAAGAAAGTAGACATATCTCAGATAAAGAAATACGTCTCCAAGGTGACTACAATGTCTCTTCATTACCATAAATAACAAAAGGGTTAGAACAAGCATCACCAATCAGACTCATCCTTTTTTTCAATGGCTGAAAAATGTTGTTGTATGGCCCATAAAAAAATGTTCAAAATAAAGTTTCAATGATAAATGTGACTATGGTGATAAGAAACCATCATATTTTCTACCGATCAATCATTAGTCGTTCTTCCTCTCTCACAAGATAACATGCGAACTACATATAGTAGAGAAAGAAAAAACCTTATTATATTCTAACCTTATTTTATTATTATTATATTAAAAACCTTGCATTATATTCTCATCCCTAATGCATGAGAATATAATGCATGGGAATGGACTCTCATGGTGTGCTAATGAATCAATAGTCAAAACATTTATCAAAGTTGTAACCTCTATTCCATATATGCTCGATTCATAGTCAGAAACTACATACAATACATTTGATATTTGTACACACAAAGTTATGGAAATACTTCAGGCTTGTTGGTCTTAATGTCATCAGATTTTGAATGACATAATTCACAAATGTAAATTAGGTGTACATATTTCATTAGGTGAATTCGTGTAGGGAGATGCTGGAATGTTCTACATGCTTCTTAGTGAAAAATACACATCATTACTTATTTTATCTAATATAGTGTACATAAGAAGTGTCATCTCTTTTTATAAGGTATACTGTTTATTTCTTAAACAGTATTTCAGGGAATTTTATAAAATATTCCATAAGCTACAAGATTAAAAATATTATTGTGATCAGGTTATAAATTTCAATGTTCAAATATTATATTTTTGATTAAAAAATGATTTCATTTTGGAATAATATTTATGTTATAAAATATATTATATTATTTAATACAGTATATTATAAAACTATATTAATTTTACAATCATTAAACCAAAGAAATATAAAAATAATTTTTAGTGCAATCAATTTTTTAATAAAATGATAAAGTAATATGGTTACTTATTGATAGTTTTCTGAATACATGTTTAAGAATGAAATTTTCAATATCAGTTTTTTGGCTTGCACAAGTGACATGTCTCCATAACATGTCGACATGTTCTAGATATGCTCTTAAACTTCGGAACAATTTGTAGATTGACAATGTACGCCGGTAGAATAGTTACTGTTGCTTTAGTTTGTATATTTTGTAGACATTCTTGTTGATTGAAATAAATTCTAGTAGCAATTTCATTAATAAGTCAACTTTAATTGGGAGAATTAGTTAAGAACGCAACCTCACTGGATTCAATCTCATAAAATCTACCTTTTCATGGCGGTTGAAGCCATAGCAAGAGCTTGTACGGAAATGATTTTCTTGCAACGGAGACTCTACATGATCATGACGATTATTGCACAGTAGTTTTTATTTAGCACATGAATATTATTGCTATTTAGATTCCTTTTTTTAGTTTGCTTTCCTTATTTTTACATCTATAATTATGCACTTCTAGATTGCTTTACAAGTTCATTCAACTTCATTCAACTCATGGATGAGCAATTAGTAGACATGTTCTTGGTTATTTTCGCTGAAGGTGATGGCTCTTCGTGATATCATGCGTACATTCCGTGGAAATTTCAAATATTTATATAAAACATATTTGACTCATTGAATTTCTCAATTGCATATCAAAATTCCCATTTTTTATATTTTGTATAAATATGATGAAAGATGATCTGAAATGTTCTTTCATGTTAATTTTACTAGATTTACATACGTTCAGTTCATACACCCAAAAAAAAAATTTGTTGAAAATTCAATGTGCTAGTAAGCTTATTACTTCATTTTGGAATATTATTCACAGTAAAATTCAAGAGAATTAAATCAATGGATGAAATTGTAAATCAATTTTTATTGTAAGTAAATTTCGAAACTATTGATTTATAACTTAAACCGAAATGAATCTTTTGAAAACTGGACCAATTTTGAATGATGAAGTTTAGTATAAAACTAAAAATCAAGAAATTTTTATTGGTTTATTAGAATAATATAAAAAATATTATATATACACCTATATAAGGATGTTTTTTATAAAGATATCTTATGTCAAAAAAATATATAATGTATTGTCAAAAACCATGGATTTGAAAACAAGATCTGATAGAACTTTATCGTGATTTGAGATTATTAGTATGGAAGACTAAAAAAAAATTTATAATTAAATATGCTCTGATGAAATTTAAAATTTTTAAAATTATATATTTACATTTGATATCATACTTTTTTTTAAATAAAATTGTAGATATATTTAAAAATAATGCGGCCTGATTTTATTTGAGATTTTGATGTTAATTGATTTTATACACAGACGTATATAAAAATTGAATAATATTAAATTATCCAGAATTAATAATATTAAATATCCATTTACAAAAATAAACTACTAATAAGCTTTGCACAAGTTTTGAAAATAATATTTTTTAACTTAAAAAATATTGAATATAATAATATTGAAGTTTTCGAGTGAGCTAGTCAAAGATGTTGGCTGGCCAACAACAACCTATAAGATAAGAATGAAAGACAAATATTGACTATGTGATGTTGGGAACAATTTTAGAGTATGATATAGGAAAAATTAATAGGATGAGATTATGAGATGGTCAGCAATGACCTTTGATTGTAAAGACTTTGGATTGTACATAGGTTTTCAATGGAAGTCAACTTATCTTAATCTTATAATATGTAATGCTAGGAGTAGTTTGAGAAGAGAAATCATCTTAAAAATCATTATGAAATGATTTTCTCTAGTAAGAAAGCTTTGGATGTATTCTTTGGTATTGGTTATACTCTAACTAGATGCTAACTTGGGCACTTGACACTTCTTTATAAAAGGTCATGTGGAAGCTCGCAGTGTTACACACTAGAGCTCAATCTTATGAGCAATTTGAGAGAACAAGAGAGTAAGAGCAAGTGATTTGTGTATTACTGTAGACGTAGCTTGTGTCTATCACTCGCTTGTGAACTCATTGTGTATGTTGTCTCGTATCATCTCATAGTTGATATTGGTCGAAACGTTTTCCAAGTTAATTGAGTTGTTGATATTGCATGATGAGGTATTCATATAGATGACTTCTTAGGATGGACGTGTACTTAATCTGATACACAAGTAGTTGTTCTTAAGAGAGTAAGTTGCTCCAAATTTGGATAAGTTTCAAGCTTTTCATTATTGCGCATTCAGTGTTGATTATACAATTTCAAGATATATTATTGAGAAGAGTGGATTAGCTAATAGAGTTGTTAATAGATAGGAATTTGTGTATAGTGAATCTGGCTTGGATGAAATGTTTTTAAAGACTTGGATATTTATTTCCCGTGATGGGACTTGAGGTAAGTTGATTTTGTGTGAAATTGTTTTTACATTAATTTAGACGAGTACAATTTGCATGTAAAGTTCCGCAGTTGACAAACCTTACAATTGGGTTGCGATATATGTACATAGAGTTATTACTTTTGTATAGAAAAAGTCCACGGTCTTGAGATTTTAGTCAGGCATAAATTTAGACAGATCAGAAATATTCACCCTACCGTCTAAAAAACACACACGTCTATTATTCTTACAAAGATGACTACCACAATTACAATTAATAGTTTGCTTTCTTTGAACCCTGAGTCAATTTTCTTAGGGGCAGCAGCTAGAATGCTTTGGGTTCAGTACATAGATACCGTGATTGTTGATGACAGCGACTTATACCATTTTAAATTGTATGATAATGCGAGTGAACAGATTTTCGACTACGACATGTAGACAAATCGTTGAGAATTTTAATTATGTTCAACTGGTATCACCACGAATGTCAGATATTTTACACACACTATTATGGTGGTGAGAAGTGCAGAATTGATTTGTCGTGAACGTTTTATGTTAGGACAATGAGTGAAGCCATTATAAAGATTTGTAGTTAAGGTAGTACCCGTGTTGAAGAGCATCAATTCAACTATGCATTAGTTAATTTAGGTACCCTAGATGCTTCCAGCGGTGAAACTGGTATACACGTATTCTCGTGCGTAGCATCATGCGCAAAGACCAGACTTACACAATAAAAACTTAATCGGTGCTTTCTAGCATCTACAGGCCACGTTAAGGCTACATGATATCTGTCAACGGTGTCAGACTTCGTGTAATGAAAGCGTATACTCTGCATGCTTCCGTTCATCTCGTATCGGGTAATGACATCGACCGTTCCTTTCCACCTGTTGGACCTTACCCGTCTTCTTCACATTGAGAGAGATACATCTCAACACCATTCACCAAAAACCATAACTCAAGTAATCTGCTCGGTGTATCGTCTCGTCAATGAGAATCACAAGGCAGAATTTCTACACAAGTTTATCCCCTAGAGTAGGTTGACCACTGTTGTTAATTCCAACATTTTAAGAAATCTCGACCCTTATTCCAGAAGTAATTGTGAAGACTACATTCATTAGGCCAATCTCAACAACAACTAGTTGCATCCATCTGCAACTATCTGCCGGAGATCGTCCTGTGAATATGTATCTGATTCAGACACAATTCAATTTGAAGACCATTCCACCTACAATCTACTGGACAACACCAGGTTCTTGGAATAATTGGGAATTACTGAACAGAATCACAAGGTTGGGAATCTAACGACAAACTCCTGATCTTTACTTGATCTGCGACAAGAATTGTAGAGATCTGTTTGACTTGATTGAATCACAAACTCCAGCAATACCTTCTCATATAAGGTAAGAATGAGTCACAAGCTCAGACCAGACATCCAAGGAGATTGCCGGTCTTAAATAGTAACAGGGCAGCAACAGAGCCCATATACTTGCTTCTCTCTGTCCAGAACCAGATGTCATCATACTGCCTACAATTTTGGAGTTAGAAAGAGATGTCCTCTTTCGGGACTCACGGGATTTGAAAACCTATGGGACTCCCAGTCTGGTGGTATAAATCAGAATGAGTTCAACCTAAACAAGTAAATCTCCTACTAATCCACATCCGTGAGGCTGCGCTGTGTGCAAATCTGCTTAGATCTGGCAATCTATGCTTCAATTCAGTGCTCGGAAGTGTTTCCATGACGACGTCCGGCACACAAATCAGAATAGACAAGTACAGGAGGTTTCTAGCTAAACTACTACCGATGCATCTCTGTACATCTATATACAACATGCGGGTAGTTCTAGAGACAAATGTACCTGGCCTTCACTCCGAACATGAGGCTCCTTCCACATCTTGTCCACTTCATTGAGTCGGCCAAATACATCCAATCCCTCAGTGGGCACGACCCAATCAGCTGGACTTGCGACCCAGCTTCTCCTTCAACGCAACCCAATTCACTTTGGCTTCAGTGCGCTTCATCAGCTCGACTCCAAAAGTGCTGGTGGATTTCCTCAGGCACATATTCATCTTCAAATCACAAACAGGGTAGTCATGGGGGCAGCAGTGATAGTGGTCGTCGCAGCAGGTGGCAGATTCTAGCCCGCAGCAACCCCAGGCAAAGCACAGCTTGCCCACAGGGAAGGTGCAGCAGCAGGTGTTGCCTTCGGGGCAAGTCCTCCACTGATCGCAGATGACCTCGGGGGGAGTTGGCGCTGGTGGGGTTGGACCGGGGTTGGGGGGGTTGGGGGAGGTTTTCACAGCATAGGAGGGCTCAATTAGAATGCCACAGATACCCTCGCTGCCGACTCCATCGCTGTTAGTGCCTCTCTTCATGCGCACGTACCCGCTCTCTCCCCAGAAGCCTCCCCACGAGTTCTTCACGATCCAGTAGTCCTTGCCGTTGTCAGTGCCGTAGCCTACCGCGGTCACACCGTGATCGAGGTCGGTCCCGCAGGTGCCGGTGAAAACTCCCGACGTGTAGAGCTGGAAGTCCCGGCCTGCAGCCTCGATGGCGACACTTACAGGCTGCTGCGCCACGGCCTTGAGGAGGGCGGCCTCGTCGTTGAAAGGAACGTCCTCGTATGAATCGATGGTCACGACGTGCGCGTTCTTCTTGTTGGCGTCGCAGCGACCGTCGTAACCGGCATATGGGTAGTCCTCCTCGGAGTCGATGCCTCCGTTGTTGATGATGAACTCGAATGCGTAATCCATGAGGCCTCCATTGCAGCCCTCGTTATAGCTGGTGTCGCAGTCCACGAGCTCCTGCTCCGACAGGGCGATCAGCGAGCCGGTTTTGATGGCGTTGATGCCCTCGACGGAAGCGATGGCAGAGAAGGCCCAGCAACTTCCGCACGAGCCTTGGTCCTTGACCTTTGCCACTGCGCCCTTCTCTCTCCAATCGATGGAAGCCGGGAGGTCCTTCACGTTAGCGTAGCGGAAGTTGGTAGGATTTTGCTGCCGGCGAAGAGCTCTTTTCTCTCGATCCAACTTGACACCGAGGTAAGCGCTGCGATACTCCTCGTTGGTGAGATCTGCGAATCGGTTGAGCCCGAGCGCGAACGAGCTCTCCTTGCGGTTGTGGGCGTCTATGTACTGCAGATTGTCCTTGAACACCTGCATCCTGTGCGACCTCTCTGACTCTCCATTGTAGCTCTTCTGATGCTTACTTGCCCAGGCGCTGAACAAGCTGCCCAGCCTCTCGTCGGACAGCAAGTCCTCCGGTGCGTATCCAACTATCGAGAACTCCCCATCGAGAGCGCTTGCGGCAGCTCCCGCTACGGCCGTCAGCACCACCAAGCTACACAACAGAGCTGCTACCGCAACACCAGCTGCTCGAACTGTCACCATCGAAGCACACCGTCGGCCGCGAACTCCCTCTCCTTCCCGTCTGCTGCTGCTGCTGCTTCCCTCCTGTCCAATTCCCTCCCACCTCCTTCTCTTGGACAGGACTGTCTAACAATGTCCTCTATCTGCCAATCCAGAATATGGGAGCTTGTTTTGTATGTGGGACTCACCGATGCTGCTGCTTCTGCGAGTGAAAGCTGCAGCTGAGGCTGACGGTGGACACGGCGAGCACCAAGGTTTGAGGGACGGCATGAGTGGTTGGCGTGCTCCCAGCGAGCACCGAAAGCTCGGAGCCGGAGTTTCCTGCCGTAGGCACTCACAGAGATGCTTCCGTGCACGCGAAAGCAAAGTACTCCCTCGTGGACTCTCTCCGAGCGCTCGACCTTGCCCTCTGTTGGTACTGTAGATTGAATACGGCGTATAATTGCTCAGCGTTCACATATTTTCTGCCTTCTGCTGAACGGAATTCTCTTCGCAGACTACAACCCTTGTCTTATCCCAGTGACAACATACGGTTCATTCCCTCACATAAATTACTCTTACAATGAATGCATGTTCGCATACTGGGCTAGATTCAGATAACTTAGCTTGTGGTGTAAACTATACTTTGCAGAAGATGTTGTCCTCTCTCTGTGTTCTTACCCTCCTCAGTCAGGCCGATTAAAGTATTGTTGCAGAAATTACTACAATAATGCATGTTCATACAGTGGGGTAGATTCGGTTCACTCAGGTTGTAGACTAAAATATACTTTGCAGAGGACGTTTTAGTCTCTGTCCTCTTCAGTCAGCCAGATGAAAAATCTCATTGATACTTCTATACACTATTCAAATGGAGAATGCTAGGGAAACCGTCCTGGAAAGAGAGGTCAGGTGTAAGATATAGATTAAAGTTACAATTAGATAACAAAATGAACGTAAACTTTTCTCTGAACTGGAAGTGTAATAGAGTTGAGGCCAGTCATGTGAAGAATCTTCTATTTTCGACAGTTTTTAGTTGACTGATAGTAACCGGTTGTCAACATCTAACGTTCTTGGAGAGACGAACCAAGGTCAAAAATAAGATTCTACCCGAGAGGAGCGACGTACGGAGAATCCATATCGTTCTTTGCGACGTCCAGTTCGGATCATTCGGAAATAAAATGGACATTTAATCTACATTTGTAAGAAATAAATTAATAGAACAGGACCACTTCGGATCATTCGGAAATAATATGGAAATTTAATCTACATTTGTAACAAATACATTAATAGAATAGGACCTCTTCGGATCATCCAGAAATAATATGGACATTTAAACTACATTTGTAAAAAATAAATTAATAGAATAGGACCTCTTCGGATCATTCGGAAATAATATGGACATTTAATCTACATTTTTAAAAAATACATTAATAGAATAGGACCTCTAACATAATACTAGACCTTCGAAACTGGAAAATCATCACTAGCTCGGCCTCAGCTCGCTCTTTGATGCTGTGGTTGAGGTGCCTGCATGGAACCCGTAAGCACAAATATGTGATGACGGACTCTTTGTTAGGAACGTGGAAATATAGGAGGTAAAACGTTCCGGCCAAAAGGATCTGAGTTTCCTTGATATTGATGAGGGGCGATAGGACAACAGCGTAGGCGTAACAGGAAGAAATCACTTTGAATAATTTACACTTTCAACATGTGATAGTTGTGCTTTGATCATGTTTTATATTAAAAAACGATGAATCGAGTTTGTGGTTCGATTGTTTCAAAACCATTGATTATGTTTTGAAATGCGTGTCCTTGCGTGCTTGTAATCAGATATTTTGCCTGGTCAATGTCATAGGAGATCCCACTGACCATTAAAGTCCTAAACGGTACCATCATAATACTTTTGGGGATCAGAAGTCGTTAAGTTTTTAACCAAGTTTTTAAACATATCTCTATTTATAACTCGTAAGAGTAAAAGAAACAAAGTAAACTTGTAAGAAGAATTAACAGATAAATATAATATAACCAAGGCCAGTGATAAAGAAAAATTAAACTAACTAAGATGTCAAATTATCTACTAAGAACATAAATGTAATGTTATTAAACTCTTAAAAGTAATTGCTTTCTATGGAATTCACTAGATTTTTATTTATGTAAATAATGAAACCTTGGGTTAAAACGTTAAAAACGAATCTGAAGATCGTGTAATACCTACCACCTAGTATAGTGTGCTCTCACAAATTCTCTCACAAACACATTGAAACTATTGTCAGCAGATTTTTTTCAAATACCTAAGGAATATATAAATTATTTTCCTATATATTTCAGCTCAAAGAGGTACCACTTCAAACACTACCCATTAGAATGGCATGAGCAATCAGTGGGGTAGCTAAATTTTATTTTTTTAATATTTTATGGTTATTATTAATTGAAAGAAACATTTGACATACATCACAATATTTATATCTACGAATATAAATATGCTCAAAGCTTAATCAACTCCAAAACACATCAAAGCTTCTTTCATGTGAGACATTTACTTCTCATGCTAAAGCAAACACCGCATTTTTCTTTTCATCATAAATAGTTGTCAATATGCCTCTAAATAAGCAAAATATGATGTAAACACATAATGCTTTGACAATATTATATAAAACCATGTGCTATCATGTGAACAATGCATGTGTTGGTAATTGGACAATTAGAAGTTGAAAGTTTGTGTGAATACAAACAGATGGGTGTAAATACATGAGCATGTAACTTTGTTGATGCAAGAAAGTATATGAGACTTTATATAACATATAATGATCTAAAATATCACAAATAAACGTAGATAAATTTTAAAAATCAGAGCTTTATTTCAATCAATAAAACCATTACAAAAAACACATATTACAATTTTTAAGATGATGAATAAATTTTAATTCTTTGGAATTTTAAAAATATCATGCATTTTAACTTGATTGGATAGCGCAGAAGCTCGTTTACTTCAACTAAAATAGCCTTGGGAGTGGTCATCTTAACATCATTACTGATTACAGAAAAATGACTTTCTATTTACTTGGATGTGCATGTATGTATATATATATATATATATATATATATATATATATGTTTGCGACTCAGACTTGAGCTACTCTACAGGACACTATGATTTAAGTTACATGATGATGGCTGATTCTAGTTCATAGTCAGATTTAAAACGCAGGGGATAAAAATACTAATTCCAATTACTATATCATTATTTTGTATGTAGTGATAATGCATGTAAGAAACGCTTTTCTAAATCCCTCTTGTACATTTTGAGGATGGAAGACATAATTTTAACCTAATTTTTTTACAGGAAATAACTCACACATTTTATCTAAATATTATTATTTAAAATATAATAATAATAAAAATAATATTTTATCTAAATATTAGTATCTAAATAATATTTTATGATGAGTTTGAAACATATTCATTCCTAAAAAATGGCATAGATTTATGTCTTTGTGCCAAATGTTATTTCATATAGTACCAAAAAAATACAATAATTCACAGGGCAATTTTAGACAACAAAGATTCCTAGAATATCATAGATTTTTATTTTGATCTCTATAAATTTTCCAACTAGATCGTCATGAAATTATGGGAGTCTAATTAAGCAATATAAACACAAAGTACCCTCTGTGTACTTCCGATTTGAGAAATTTTAAAATAATGTCTTCATAATGTTACTTTTGAAGGGCATAAATTTATAATTGAAGCACATAGAGAATTTCTTTCCTAAACCCTCCTAACCTAATATCTTCTCTCCGACGTGATCCATGCCAAAATTAGTGAGATTCCGAGAAGATAAACTTTATGTATGATGAGAAAGAAAGTCATCGAGGAACAACTTTTACTGACACAAAAGCAACTGTGACTTGAACATTATGCATGTATGTGAGCTGTAGAAGTTGGATCCGCTACCATGTTTTCAAATGAGACAAAATTATGACGCACTGAAAGATAGCAGAAAGCATGAAAATAAGGAAGACAAGAGGTACAATGAAGCGAAGTGTGTAAAAGACATCACAAGGTTCTCAGAGAAGTTAGTGTACGGCACACAATAATAAGAACTGGTGATCAATGTAATTACACATTCATCGTTTACTACAGAAATTTTTAGCAGAATGGGAGACTTCAACAATAGACCTTTTGATCTCAACTTTTGGAACAACTAGACTGAATTACGAGCCAAACAGTGTTATAGTAATACAAGAGCATGCACCGATCTATGGTATACATCAGCGGAATTAGACAGAACGATCGGAAGGATGGAGGGCCAGGACGTCTCGGGATATCCAAGGATTCCAAAGACTCAAGGTTAATAGCAGAGGTAAAGACAAGTCTTCAAGTCGAGCATTTAGATTTTACAGCTTGTAGAATCATCGCCTGGTGTTGGAGTAGGATTAGAGCGTTCGATCTGTATTAGGCATATGCACTTATCATCATGTACAAATCTATGAAGATCGAATCACGTGTTTTTCATGCTCTTTTAGTAAACACGTGACAATAATCTGAAAGGGCACTACAAACTATTGAAAAGTGAAGTTTCCTGCTTGTACTCCGAGTCTCAGTAGTCTTCCTGTTGCAATTTTGTAACTGCAAAAGAGAAGAATCGGATCGACAACTTTAACAGGATGTAAGGTATGTCGCAGGAAAGTACAAAATTATATAAGTGTAGGCAGAATGACATAACCTAGTGGAGACTCAACAACGGCGGATCCTCAAAATATCACTATACACATCTGGATTGCCTGTCACTTGGATCGGAGCATAATATTCTTACTAAATGTTTACAATCTAAACACATGATTTGAATACAAGACAATATCAAAAATGTGTATAAAAAATAACTTATGTATGACATGAAGTAAATAATACACATTGTGTATGTAATTACCAGTTTTACAATATTTTTTCCATCAAATATATATAAATATACGCACAATGTATCAAAATATTATGTCAATCAGCAATATAATTTTCATTAACATCAATCAAATATATGATTCAAAAAAATGAAGTGAAATTTGTAGTGTTAATATCAAAGATTTGTATTTTACGATTTTATAATTATAATTATAATATAACTATAACTCATATCTTATAATTATCATAACATCTTACATGTTGTTGATATCAATATCATCTTCATTGTTCATTGCACGTCATAATAACTGTGAAATATATAAATATTTTTTATAACAGATTATTATCAAATGCGTTTTATGCATGTTCTTTCAATTGCTAATTTGACTCCAACCATCATCATGCTTTTTAAACATATCTACAAAAATCTATTACATATAGTTTTTAGATTGTAATCTCATGTATTTGTAAAATTATGCTTAAGTTTATTTTGATAGACGACAATGTTGCAACAAGATACAATAATGATACTTAACAAGTTATAGCAAATATATATATATATATATATATATATGAT